AGAAAGAGGGATGAAAAGGGTATCAAGAATCTTGGTGTTATTTCCATTAATTTGTGTTATAGATTGTGGGGTTACCCTGAATCTTGAGGCGACAGAAGAAATGTTATCATTAGGTTGAAAAACATAACTTATGAGAAGTCTTGGTAGATTTTGTGAAGATGTCGTGTTTGGACATTTGCAGAAAATTGGGAATTTTATGGATTGACCTATGTCAATGTCTTCTGGTACGACGGTTGGATTAACAGCCTCAACAGATTGATAAGTAGTAAGATTTTGGTATTTAGATGTTGATATACCATACATAGTGTCACCTGATTTGAAAGTGTAGTTAAAGCCAGCATAAGATATGCTACCATATGTTGTGTTGATGTTGTTACAAGAACATGTGATGGGGATAAAAAGGGGTTGATCATTAACAAGAGTTGTGTTTGGGTTGGAAATATTACTAGGGTTTGCTATCATTAGTCTACTTACTGAAAAAAGATCACCAATTGAGGCTAAATCAAGAAAGTCTGGTCCTCTAGCTCTGTATAACACATAAGTTTGACATGGATTGAATTGGTTAGGATTACAAGTATATCCTGTGATGCTTGGTGGCTCTTGTGCATAACATATTATGTTTTGGTTGAATATGAATGATAAGAATAAGAGAAGTGAAAAAACAAATATTGGTCTTGTTATCATTTTCTTGGTTTTGGTTGAAGGAGAGATGTGTGTGTATATAATATGATGGAGTTATAAGAGGTTTATATACCAAAGTTCTTGTTTTTTGTCATAGTCTTGGTTTTTGACCATTTAATGAGTGATGGGGATTTTTTGCATTATTTGATTGGTTGTTGTTGTTTAATTTCTCATATGGTATTGTCTTTAACATTAAAGGAAGATGGGTTTTTTTTCAATTTGATGGTCCCACCTAGAAGAGTTTTTGGTCAACCATATTGTAGAAAATACTCGTGTTTATATTTGTTGTTTTTCTCCAGAATGTTTTCACATGTTTGGACTAGCTATTTCTGAGATACGTCTTTTTCCAAGGTATATTAAACTATTGCAAGAGTTAGGGGAAATACTTTTCATTCAGGGTCGTTTGGTAGTTGGTTTGGAGTTGAGTTATGCAGGTTAAGTTACGTAATACCATGTTTGATAGCTGATTTAGGAGGTAATTTAGAAAACCGCATAACTAATACATGCAATTTTAAAGAATTGACACAAGTGCAAGATCATTTTTGAAGAATCCAAGCAACATAACATAAAGATAAATTCATTACAAGTGTCTTATGTGGTACTAATATATATTCCACTAGAACAACCTTAAACATGCTCTTATTCGAAATTGGATTTACCACTACTACTAGAAAAGATAATATAGGAGTAATATTACACTTATATAGAAGCAAACTTTAAAGTAAAGTACAAACCTCAAAACACAAAATGCTACTCCACTTCAAAACAACTTTACATAATATGCAAGTACTATTATGTAGTCTATCTTGCTGTGACTTGCCTTGGAGATGGTCCTTCCTCTGAAACATCAGAAAATAGATCAATACTTTTAGATAAGGCATACACAATTTCAATCATCCCTGGCCTTCTTGAAGGATCTTTATTCAAACATGAAATAGCCACAGTCATCACATTCACAACACTTTCCATTGTTAATTCTTCCCTCAATAGACTTTCATCCATCCATTCTTGCAATTTCCTCACCTTCCTCTCTTCACTCCCTTCAGAAAAATCGCTAATTTTTGCCCACAAGACTTTCCCTTCATCATCGATAGCCTCCTTCCCTGACACAAGCTCGAGCAACACAACCCCGAATGAGAAAACATCCATTTTAGTGGATACAACCCCATCAGTGAGGTACTCAGGGGAGATGTACCCCTGAGTACCTACAATGTGCATTGTTATAGCATTGCACCCTGATTTAGCTAGACCAAAATTGGCAACTTTGGCTC